TTTAGGGGTTTTCCTATGTAAAAATGGTGAAAATGTCCTCATCCCCATAAAAACGTCCGCTGTTTAGAGGTGTCCGTCGGGAGGTTTCACTGTATATACAAAAATATACAAGGGCACTAACAAAAAAAATAGGTAAAAATGTAAAATACATATCTTCCCAACAATATAATATATTGATATATGGCTATTCTATTAGTCTCAGTTGTCAATAAAATACACTTTTAACTTTTATATGTGCCATAGTTATGTATTATTTAATCTTTAATATAATATTAAATAACTCTTTGTAATTAATGGTCGAGCTGAATAGTTTTTACTGCAGTTCTAAATATAAAAATAAAAAAAACTCTTGAGATATTAATTTATTAAATTTAATATTCTCAAAAATAATTTTACTTGATAATTTATTACTGAAAAAAGTATGAGTCATGAGAGATATACTTAAAATATCTATTATTAAATTTATTAATTTCATAATAAACGAAATAATGTGTTGTTAAAGTTTAAACTATGATTATGTAAGCTCCGGATGTACGATAGTGTTCAAAAAACACTTACATTTACTATAAAACTACTATAAAAGTACAAAACATAATAGTTTTCAGTTCTTTAGAAAATAATGCTATTATAATTGTATTACAATTTATAATGTTTCAAGATATCTAATGTTATTCAAGTTAATATGTATCTTATACTTGTGTCATTAATCCAATTTAATTGTTATTTTTATTCTTTTTATTTGTCAAGTATAAACACATTTTATTTTATATTTATTTTTTTAGAGTCTTAAATATATTCTGTCGATATTGTAACAATATTCTTAAAACTTGCATTGGTTTAATATATTATTGTTAAGCTTATTGTATTACGCTATATGCCTATATAACCTGATTTTAGAATGGAAAATTAACAAAATATACCAAATACTGCACTTGTAGCCAATATTTATACCTCCATTGTAGTGTACTTCAGTTCATGGGGCAATTGGCGTCGGTATACTTCGCTTTATGAACTAATTCGAACGATAGCACTTGGTATATTTTCGAACGTGGTTCAAACTACTCTCTAAATTTTTTTAATTTCTCTAAGGAAAATCTTTGATCAACCCAAAAAAAGTTCAATTCTCATGATCAAAACGATATCCTTGTGTGAGCCACTCTGTAGCAACCTATATAGGTTGAAAATTGGAGCTATAAGCATAGTCTCCAAACCCTCAAGGAACATGAGTACAACATTTTGTGCCAATTGAATAAGTGGTTCTAGAGATTGAGTACTAATAAACGCTCAAACATTTTTAAATGTAAAGAAGAATAATAATAAAAAGGTATAAAGATAATGACTAAATAACTTGACGATACAATCTTGGTTACTTAAGCGAGTTTGTATAGGAAAAAAATTAAGGTTGATTTTAGAACTATATGTTGGAGGTCTGGAGGATTTTATTAAAGGATAGTGAAATATTTTTTCTAATCAAAATTATAATAAACAACAAAATTGACTTGTTTTTAAAAAAAACGTAGGCTATATTTTTAATTGTTATTTATTGGAAAATTTTACATTGTTCCAATGTGCTTTTACTTGTAATAGTTTTCTATGAGAATATGAATTTTAAATAGCTCTTTGACCCGGCAGATTATATTTTTTAGGTTGTGAGTACATTTAACTATACAAGGATGTAGAAAAGTGTTTTGGATGGACAAACGGGGCTAGAAAAACTTCAGTGTACGAATGGAATACGAACTGAGATTTTCAGAAGAAACCTCTAAAAAAATTAGAACAAAATAGTAATTTTAATATGTCGCAATAAATGCATTAGCATCTACTTATGTCCTATGTAGTGTACATCCGCTTATATCACAAATATGGTGGAAAAATTGAGAGGATATATTATATAAAACGAAGACAGTGTGACGTGGAAGCAAAACGCAGCATAGTGCTTAAATTTTGAAAATCACGTGCCATTTAAACGGTTTATATTATGCGGAATGGACGTGGTTTGAAAACTTCTATTGTCGATACAAAAGCCGTCTCGTCGGCGGATGAATTGACATGCAACAATCATAATACATATAGATATATGTACGTGCGTCATAACACGGCGGGTAGGAGTTTTGCATTTGAATCTCTACGCACGTTCGAGACGACTCTGAATACAATTTTAACCCTCTCCGAATACACCTTACGCGCTCGTCTTTGCACTATAAGTAGGTATACTAGGAGAACTAGATCTCATTTATTTGCCGATAAGCGAGCTGCACATTGTAAACAATATATAAAGCCGCCGGAGGTTATTGAATTTTCCGTATCGTCATAAACCATTGACATTTTATTCGTTCTGGTAGGTATACTACCTATCCGTGGCTAGGTATTTGAAAATAAATAAATTCGTCTACGCGACAATAATACAAAATAGAAATGTCGGAGATACGCGTGCATAATGCACCATGTGAGTATACGAGTAGCGGAGTTAGCGAAAACCCGAAGGCAGTTTTAGCCCAAAAACACTAGATTTGTTTCAAAATGTTGTTATGTATATTGTGTATATTATGTATATTAATATGTTATTGTACATTTAGTACATTACTGATAAAGTGATACCATGTTGACGAAATATTAAAGAGACACGTCATACACTCGTTTTGACGTATTTTTCATGCAATATTTTTCTATGACAACCCCAATAGGTAACAACCCAATATCACTATGCGATCTACAAAAAAAAAATGATGTTCTTATAAAGTTATAAATGGTGGTGGTGGTACAATGAGTGTGATCTACATTATGGACATTTTTTTTTTATTGTTCTATTAAATTGTTTTAAAATATTTATAGTATAATGATTCAAAATTAGGTACTTAAGTATTAATGAAATAATAGAAGTTCAGTAATTGATGGACACGTAATAACGATTTTTATAATTTATGTTTCTACACATCGAATCCTTTTTATTTTGTTTGCTAATCAATTTCAAATATTTTTGTTACACAAACGATAAAATATATTAGCCATTTATAGATATAGAAACGTGCATTTAATCAGACATTGAGGACATTGTATATAAGATTAGAACATTAGTATACTTTTTTTATCTACACATATTGGACAGAACATTTATTATTGGTAGATTGGATATTGAACTGTTATACTTACCAGAATATTATATACATTACTAGCTGTCCCGTCACGACGTTGCTTATGTATAATATAGCTACATAAAAAACCACCCTTTAACACCTTAGAGGTCAAATTTTGAAAAATCCTTTCCTAGTTACTACCCTTATATTGCTTAAGAAACCTCTGTACAAAATGTCAAGTCTCTATAGAGACTCATCGGTTTGGGCTGGGCGTTGATGAGTGAATAGGGACGATCTTCTATATGTATTTAGATATCTTAGATTTTATTAGTTCAATTGAAAAATAATTCGTTAAGTACCTATAACTGCATTAAAATAAATAAATAAATAATTAATTTGTTTTTGTTAAATTTGCTGAATTACCCGGCTTCGCCCGTGTGTAGTTTTTTCTTTCTCAAAATGAAATTCTTAAATCAACATACATTGTTGTGTTTTACAGAAGAAAAAAATGTATTTTTCTTAATTTCTTAATTAAGTATTAGCTGAATTATAAATAAAACAAAAATAATAATAGTACTAATATTCACAAATGAAACTGATCCTTTGCATTCCGTTGCCCGTTAAAAATGCCAACTCTACATGAGACTTACTTGTAATAGTGTGAGCACCGAGTAGTATATTATCAGGTAGGCTATCCACCTGTAGTGGATTTTGGACCCCGCTAGGTGCACACTTCAATATGAATAATATGTTTAATTTGAATTTCATTAATTATTTTTATTTTGTACATGACGATGAGCGGCGGATAAGTGTAACTCAGTGACAGCCACCTTTTTAGGCAATGTACTAAAATTCAATTTAATGCATTCTTAACCTGATCTGCCCGATTAACCAATGGCAACTCAAAAAATAAAATAAATATTAAGTTCTGCTAAAAAATTAAGAAAATTGCTCGGAAAATTAAGTATTAATTAAAATAAACGTGTAAATTTTATAACTGTACACATGTCACATATTGTATGGCACGGCGGCCCGCGGGTGACTTAAGTTTGTTTAAGATTTTATGCATGGTTGCTTAAACTAACCTTGATAAACAAACTCTTATCAAAAAACTCGCTGTAAAATTCTTCATTAATCTTCCGATTGATTCCACTGTGAAATGAGCGCTAAGAAATTATAAATTAACTGTTTTACATCATAGATAGAAGATAGATTGATTTGTTTTAAATGAAAAGCGATAAGCGTGATGCCTCGACTAAAGGAAATAGGGATTTATTTTTTTATACATAGAGAGATATAGATAGATTGTAGAATTTTACTTCTAGGAACAATTCACATCTACACGCCGATCAAACACATATATAGTTAGACGGACAAAAAGTTATGGATGCATGTCGCTATGGAAACCCACAGGTCGCAGTGTTGTTAAATATGTATGTAGATATACAATTTGTACGTAAACAATTTATTTTTGCCGATTTCACCCCTTTAAAATAAAAATTTAAAAAAATCCTTTGTGGAACTTGACATCCTCAAAATTTCAAGTTGATAACTCAAATAGGTTCGGCTCTGCGTCGATTAACTTTCCTTTATATATAGAAGTAATATAATATATAAATATACTATTATAATCTATATTATAGATTATAGTCCATAGGTATTAATGTATCATAATGTTCAATGTTACTTTTAAAAACGAAAAAATAGGAATAATAAACCTACACAATATAATATTATATTGTATAATATATATGAATATATATATTGTGTTATTTTGTACTTAAATATATTATGAAATAATAATAATTATGACTGGAAAATTATACGATGGATAGAACAAACTATATGCATCGTCAAAACGTACTTGGACGTCTGTTTTGAAACTACAAGGTTTACATGGGAGAACTAGAAACAAAGAAATCTTACCGTTTTTCACGTCCTTCTGGGTGCGAGTCACCCCTTGCAGCCTGTCGGCGGACATGGTGGCGGCAACCGCTTTAGCCACGACTCCCAGTTTCTTCACAGGCCTGCCACCACCGACGCCTCTGCTGTGATTTCCAGTCGTTTCGTCCATTTGTCGGTTACGACCACCGCTGTAAAAGTCGCCACTGGCATTTCCGGAACGCGAGCCCAGTGGCATTTCAGCCTGCGCTGTAGCAATACAATAATATTGTGATATAATGGATAACAATTTTTTAGACTAACCCAATATTATGATTTGAATTTCGTTTTTTGACGGTCGCATACAAGGTGTGTGCGCCACGAGGTAGTGCGGTGTAAAGTGCAAGATTCGTTATGCGTGGAAAAGAATTAAAAACGTGAAAAAAAACTGTTTCACGTGTTCGAAAACCATTAGGTACAGAATTTCCAGGGTTGGAGGCAAGGGGGAGCCGCGCGTATCGAACACCGAGCGGTGGCGACGTTCACGCCATACCGTAATCAACGACAACCTTAGTGGCGATAATATAAACGATAATTTAGCACCACACACACATTAGTATGTATAAAATAAATGTGTGTGTGAGTATAAACTTACCGTAGAAATTTCGGAAAATGAAACAACAGCGGCGATGGGTATATGATAATTACGCACGGTCGTCAAACTACGGTGGTAATTATTATTATTGGCAATCGTGTCCAAAAACGTTCGTGTGATTTCATGACAGATCAGTCGACACGCCAACAATTTGTTAGGTACTCAAAGTTCAGACGCCGAATTTTATCGCGCCGAATATACGAAATCCAGTGAGCGTGTAAAAACTAAGAGTGATGTATATACGACCGTTGGAAATGATTTATCGTTCGATTAATAACATTTTTAATTTTCTTAAAAGAAAAAACAAGCTATAATATCTAATTATTTAAATAACATTACTAATATTTAAGTATCGATATTTCAATCGTAAGAACAATAATAATATTATAAAAACAGTACAAAATATATTTGTCTTGACTAATTTACCAAAATTTCAACCATGTACCTAATGTTTGTCATGCGATACAATTGCATAAAAAATACTTATTTTTTTAAATAATATTTTATTATTATAACTGCTCAAAAATATAAAATAAGAAAGTCAATTAAATTCACACATCACATTTTTGGATCGTGTAATATTTATACTATCGTGGTTTAAAAATTAAGAATAACTTTAAATTTGAATAAGCCTGACAACATTTATAATTATTATTTATTTAACTTAATATTCGTTTTAATCTGGTCATTTTGGGATCAATAAAACACAATGATGAATTGTTGTAACTATACATTTCCTTGTAACAATACTACAGAATACCTACTTCAAGGAGAAAGGGATAAAATATATTAAGATTTCAAAGAACTGAAGAACTTGAATAACGTTGATAAAGGTATCACATTTGTAAATCAAAACGTTCGCCAGGTTTAGCCGACGACATTTATCACGTGGCGCCCTGATTAGGCAATTTCACTACATCCGACCGTTCCATAACCTGAATCATACGAAAATCCCCTATTGTTTAACCTACAGGTCATCAGCGAAACGTAGAATCTACAATACAACATCTAGACAACTTTTGAATGGCACTTTCTACAATATAATACAAAGTATGGGCAGATACAATTATACCATTAGTTCATTGTTCGGATACTAAGAACAATTATTATGTCCCAGCTATTTATAATTATTATTTTCATTCAAACAATAGAGTGTAAATCAAAAACGTACAATATTGCAAATATGCTCAGAATTATGTTGGATAAATATTAATAATTGTAGGTACTATACAAAAAAATATTCCAAACTTCCATCTACTAACAAGATAAACTGTGAAAATCGTTCGATATTCAACTATACGGTTATTTCTAGTATACAATTATACTAAACGCGCACTACTCTATATGGTTAAAATGTAAAAATAAAATTTTCTAGCACTTTTTAAAATAATTGAGAGAACTAAAAACAAAAATTATAGAATAAATAATATATATAGACAGTACCGGTTGATTACAATCGATGTTGTTGTACTACAAAAATAAGAAATAGTAGATTCTTGAAATTTTCAATAATTATAACATTTTCTAGATATGATAACATTTTCAATATATTTTCAAATATTTTGGAGTTAAATAGGTATACAATTTTCAATTTAACTAGCTACGTATAAGGCTCGAAAATTTAATTCAAAGTTTTTGTTACAAGTTTTTCTCTTAACAATTTAAAAATACATACCCAACATTTTTTTTAAAGACATTTTATTATTTGAAGGTAATATTTTGGCAATAATGGATAACTTTAAAATTACTAAATTTTAAATTTTAAAATAAATGTTAATAAGAATATGTTACAATCTAGTTTATTTATTTTAATAACAATACATAATAATATCATGTTATAGAAGGGAGAAAAACATAGATGTTGGTGTATAAAAATACACCCATCAGTGACATTCTGCTTGAGATTGAACGATTAAGTATGAGAATAACTAGCCCCCCCCCCCCTCGTATGCACGATATTAAGACACTACTTTATTTTAATTCTCAGATCAGAATTTCTAGCAAGTAAAAATCGAAATGTAAAAAAGTTTATTCTCGATTGATTTAATCGAGGTGATCGTGCGGGGTTAATTTAAAGACAAGGTGGAACGTTGGTTATTTTTAAGAGTATTATTAAATAGTAAATACTTGAGTTTAATTTAATGTTGATTTTTTAGCAAATATTATAAATCTTTAACTTTAAATATAAGAATTTAGTTTATAGGTTAGTATATATTTTATTTTTTACTAGCGGTATTAAAAATTTAAAAAAAACGAATTGTATTGTATGACTTATAAAAAAAAATACATATTATAGTAGGTTGTACGAGTATAATTAAATTATAAAATACCCTTAGAAATAGAGTGAAAAATCAAATATTTTCCGCTAAGAACCGTTTTCGTGTACAGTTTTAATGAAGAAGTACACAGTACTCTCGATACCTCCTATGCAACTGATATTCTATTTTGTATATCAAAGAACGAGTTACTTGTGAGAAAAATTTCAATTTCCGTATAGCTGTGGATATTGGCATACAGACAATCGCTAACGTACGGAAATCGTTCTTATGGTGTACAAAATAAACCCCTCGAACAATTGTTTGAAACCCTTTGGTTTTAATGTTATTTATATATTATTAGAAACAACCTTTCCCCTTTTTCATATTTAATCCAAGCATTAAGTGATTATTATATAGATATTTTGACATGTGCAATTGTCTATAGTGGCGTATGTCGTATGTGTGATTTAAGAAGAAAATAATTTAACTGTGAAATAATATTTTATGTTTTTGGAAAAAGTGCCTTTTTGGAATTTATTTTTATAAATGTTAACAATCTACAATGGTTTTGTAAAAAAAAAAACAAATTTAGCAACTTAGTTTTAGAAAGAATAAACATATTGATTTAAGTGAAAATTTAATAATTTATTAGCATAATTGGCATGAAAATAAACAAAAAAAATAATATTTAAGTATACAAATCATATACCCGTATTTTCAACATAAACAAACTTTTGAATTTAATCTCTTCGACGATATTTAAAAGTACATAATCTTTTATTTTATTTTTGCATTTCAGTTGAACTCTGTAATTAATGCAAAGTATAATATTTTTCATAATTAGGTTTCTATAAAAAATCTTTCGAAGAAAAAATCAATAGTGTACTTTATATACAATGCATAATATTGTAATACAAATGTACATAAATATAATATTATTAATTGATGCATACATGAAAAATATACCTACTAAAATATCATCATATAAAAATTAAAAATTAAATCAAAAAAATTATATATATATATTTTAATTAAATGTTTTTTGAAAATAATTCTTCTTTAATATTTGAATTTTATACTACCTAATAGAATCATACATATTTTATAATCGGTGGGTAATTTTAATCAAATGCATTGATCAGTTATTATTGGCAATTCATTTTGTATATTAAACCATGTTGATAACCAAACTGAAAAGTGTAACGGTTTAAAAAATTAAAGTGATGTTAATATGTTTTTTTTATATATACATACAATGTAAATGTAATAAAATTAAAAATATTCCAAATATCAATTAACTATTAATGCCTATTATTATCAGTACCGATATAATATTAGTATGTGTTTCGTATAATTATGTGAATATACTTGTTAGTACTTACCTTGTATGTATGTCGTTAACTTCTACCCATAAGTAACTACAATAAACTTCCAAACCATTAAAATGTGTTGCCGTGCGTTACCAATACAGTCATTGATTGCATCGCCCACCTCCTTTGCTCATTAAGAAATGCGTGTTGGGCTGACCTAAAACTACAGTTAGGTAAGCGTAATCCCTCTGTCTAACAGCAGTTGTTTACATAAGTGTTGTTGTAAAACGATGACATCATGCAATAAATGTTTAGTTCCAAATCATTGTGAAAATATAAATGAAGATAATAGAATCGATTAAAATATATAGAGCTTATAATAAATTTAACTATGTTATAAACTAGGTACCTAGCCACATAGGCACCTGCACAAGTATTAGTTATTATATGTAGACACATTATTACTTAAAGGTACATAATTCCTTGTCTGTGATAAGAAATAAGACAAAGAATATTTTTCTATCATTCAGGATGAGTAGGTAGGTATAACTTTGGGCTAAATAAAGCGAGTAGTGAGGTATCATATTATTCCAACCCTTATTTGCCCAGACCTGCAGTGTAATACTAATATTTTGTGTGCGTAATAAAAACAAACGACACTCAAGTGAGCCAGAATAATTCACATTCTGTTGAATAAAAATTAGATTAATAAATTTAACTCGATCTCTTATCACACTAAAAATGGTCTAATTTAAACTCAAATATTTCTATGGTTATTATCACTGCTCTGAGCATCGTTTCTAATTTCTATTAGTACGAAAGTAAAAATGTTAATTTCTCGTACACATTTTTCACTATAAAGCCTCTAAAACTATTTCAAATATTGATGTAATACATTTTATTGTATTATTTGTATTTATAATTATTATAATTCGTCATTATATTTTTAATTCATTATCTGGTGTGAATATTTCCAAATTCATATGCATGTATCAATTTTATTATTATACAATTAACAACATGTAACATTAATATACATGAATAAAATATATCTACAGTTAAAAAAATCCATATAAAATTAAAAATATGCATGCTGCAAGCAGTAAAAATCCAATTATTATTTTTAAATTGAAAATGAAGTTGATAATGATTATACAATTTTTGTGTAATATTTCTCCACGTATTTAAAATCAAATTTTAACAATACAGAAAAACATTTTATTATTGTAACGACAATAATATAATATTATATATAGTCGAATTTCAACCGTTGTCATAGTTTAATGTTTAATCTAAAACAAGTAATATCATGTTGTTTGACAATAATATAATTTATACCTATGCAATATAGTTAGGTTATAATATAGTTACATATTTACAACTGTTGTGTAGGAATATTAAAAATTAAAATTATCTCATTATTAAAGATCAAAATATATTATATAATAAATAATAATTCATCATAAATGTTTCATACTTAACATCGTTAACTGTATTTTATAAAAGCTGA